TGTGTGTGTGTGTGTGTGTGTATCAAACTTGGGTCTTTCCCAAGACCTTAAATCAGGGAAAAGCAGATGCCTAGGTAGGTACTAGAGCATAGAATCACATGCCTAGGTAGGTGCTAGAGCATAGTACCACATGCCTAGATAGGTACTAGAGTCTGGCTACGTGGTGGGATAAACCAGATTCTGTGTTTGCACATGTTCTCCTGGCCAAGGCTTCCACTGCCATCCCAGGAGCCTGAGGTATGTTTCATGAAATACTATCTGAGTGGGTTGTCTAAACGTTTACTTCCTGAGCAAGTCCCAACTGACACCACCAGCCTTTGGGAGGAAGGGCAGTTCCATTGTGCCAGCTCTGATCCAGGGGCTAGCTGCTTTTTGCAGTATGGAATCTTCAAAACAAAGATGTAATTGAAGCTTGCCTCTTGGTCATCTTGCTCCAGGAGACACAGAACAAGGACAGTGGAGGTCTGTCTGTTGCCGGAAGTGGTCACAGACTAATTAACAGTATTTGTACAGAACTGGCGAGTCTCCTCACCCAGCAAGACAGTGTCTCAGTTCACAATGAAGGTTCAAAGAAAGAAAATAGGAAGTAGGAAGATGGCAGTTTGCACAGACAGCTTGCTGTGGCCTGGCTTGAGGCCGAGCCCTGTGAGAAGAACCAGAAACTGAGGCATAGGGATGCTAATGGAGTATCTGAGGCCAGGGTTGGCAAGGCAGAGCTTTCAGCCTGCGCCATGCTCCAGTGGTGCTCCAGGGTGGAATTAGAATTTTGAGGACAGAATACAGAAGGACTTTTGCTACCAAAGACCGTTATGGTCACTTACAGCTGCCCCTCACACTGCAGTCTTAATTCCTAAAGTGGTGCCACCATCCTAGAAGTCTGGACAACTCTGAGCTGGGTTTTGCCTGAGACTGCTCCAGTCTTGAGGGTCTCTTCTCTGGCATGCCCACCTCAGGACTGCACCATCCGAGTATCTACTTAACACAGTTCCTTATCAAATACATCAAGGCGTGCTCCCACACACCCGACTCTAAACATCCTCAAAGCTAGGTTTCACCTTCGACCCTGATCCCCTCCAACCTTCAGCAAGATCTATTTTCTCACTCAGAATTTTGAGTGAAGTCCTATGGTTGGATGTGGTGTCACACATGTATAATCCCAGCATGTGGGAGTCCAGAGGATCATGAATTCAATTTACCCTCAGCTTTAAACCTAGTTTGGGGGTGCTTGTCTCAAAAAGCAAAATGAACCAAACCAAAGGCCAGAAAACAAACAACCAAAGAAACAAAAGCAGTCAAGTCCTAACTCTATTTATTTGTTTTGCCTTTTTGAGACAAAGTTTTATACTATAACCAGGCTGCCTTTGAACTCATGACAAACCTCCTGCCTCAGCATCCCAAGCACTGGGACTGCAGGTGTGTACCACCCCAAACAGTTCAGAAGTCCTAATTAAACATTTAAAAATAACTATCCCCCAGAGACTCTGGGGCATGGCCGCAGCCCACAGCCCTGATGCTGCCAGTATGTTTTCATCATTTCCTAGACATGGGCCGACTGTCACTAGGGTGTCGTGGTCTTTTTGTAAGCCAGAAAAGGAAGAACTGGGGCACTTAAATGATTCAGCTAGTATATATGCAAAATCCACCAAAGCAGACACCATGATGAAAACCAGTGGGGGAAGTCACACCCTTCAATGTACCACCAACAGATGATTTTCATAGGCTAGTTTGAGACTGAGGCACTAAGACCCAAGGCCTTTGAGGTGGGCCACCACCCTGTCCGTGCCCTGGAGAAATGTCCTCTCAGTGACCTGGCCCTCCCCTGTCCTTTTGCTTCTCCTTCTAATCTGGAGATTAATTGTCCTGGCACTGGCAACGTCCACACAACAGTAACACCCATATGGAAAGAACAAGCATAACGTGAGCTCACATTTCAGCATTTTGGGATCCCTCCCAACACTCTGACAGGGGCCAGTGACTGCCCGTGAATAAATCTGTTTGGAGGCTCCATGAGACCCCCAGTACACAGCAATGCCCCGCTTCAGCACCATGGGTGCCCAATAGAACTTGGGTTACTTGGATTCTTTTCCTTTTAGTTATTTCCTCTCCAAAACCCCTGCTGGGATAGAACTTACTGAGTGCACAATGTTCCAGAGCTCACAGTGAGCCAGTCCTTGTTCCAAGCTGCTATGGTACCCTGGGGTTGACCTCTTGGGGGCTCCACCCTGGACCTCCCAGTACCTCCCTGGCAAGATGAAGAAGGAAGCAGCCATTTCAAAGGAGGCCACCACTGGGCCCCAAGTGCCAGATCTCTGTCCCTTTTGAGAAAGGTCAGAAAGGCACAAACAACTCCAAACACACAGGCTGTGCCACAAGCAGAAGGCCAGGTGCTGTCTCAGGCAGTCAAGGCCCAAGCCACCAAAACTGCCTAAGCCAAGCACAGTCGCCTGAGAGATGAGACAAGTGAACACTAACAGTCCTCATCCCTAGGTACCTGTAACGATATCTACAAAAATGTCCGTTGTCATCATGCATCTGACACCACATTGCATTCAAGGCCCCATTCAAAGACAAGAAAAGCGAAATTTCAACTCATTTCTGGAATTCCCCACACCTCACCCACCTTAACTCATGAGTAATCTTCCATCCATTACATTTTGCCCCTGAAACTCTGGGCTTCTAGCTGATGCACCTTTCTCAAGAAGCCTGAATTCTCCCTGTAAGGAACTTTCTCCCAATTCCTTACTTAGTCTGGTGTCTGAATTCTTTCTCTGCTGGTGTCAGGAACCTGGACACCTGGATAGAAATTTCAATCTGATCGATCTTTGAGGATTCCTAGTCCTTAATCACAGGAAATACCAAGTGACTTGAGGGACCAGGCACAGCCCAAGGAGATGAGATCTTCGGACACACAGGTACCTTGAGGGTCCCTGAGGGCCTGGGTACGTGGCTTGGCCTCTGAGGGCAAGATAGGACCTGTGTCTTGCATTAAAACCTGACTGTTTGCCCTAGAATCATCTTTAGACGATGTCTGAGAAAGCTAAGAATTCCTGTTTGGCTTAAAGTTCAGGCCCTTCAGCAAGCAGTTCTGTTTGGCCAGAACTTAATATCATTGTGTTATTTTTTGTCTATTTTTGTGGTAATCTCTCTATAGTAATCAACACTGATTACCTTCTTTAAAACAAACTTACCCTTTTCATAAAACACACCAGATGTTTAAAGGAAAAACATTGTACCAATATTGGTTTCAGAGATGTACCCAAAATTAAATTTTGGAAGCACAGTGTCCGAGCCTGCTCCTGACATTTGGAGCGCTTCCATGAGTTCCTAAGCAGGAACTTCTGCTCACACCTTCTGAAGTGGGGAACTCACAACCTCTCAAAAGAATCTTTAACTAGTTCTTTCTGGCTTCAGACCTGAACCAGGTCCGTACACCGGGGGAAGGTGTTTTCAGAGAGGGAGCTCTATTTGCTTTAGCAAGGAGGGGTATATCCCACAGTGCCACACTGCTATTCTTCCTGGGGGTCTTCTCTGACCAGGGAAGAGTTAGATATGGAGGCCAATATCTGGGACAACTGAACTGAAGCTCAGTTTTCTGGAGTAGAGGCTCACATGCTGACAAGTAGAGACCTTGGACCCTGAAGACATCAACGGAGGTTCCGAGGACAAAATGTGAGTAGGTACCCATCATACCCACTCCAGGAAGGAAGGCACTTTCATAAATAACTGAGTGTGGCATGAAGACCTGAGCCCTGCAGCCAGCCCCTTCCCTATATATGACGGAAGGAGTCTGCCTTAGCTCCTGAGGCTCATGGGAGCTGGGACTGGCTGTCACCAGTGTATCCTTGTACCTGTCCTCACAGAGCTGACTGCAGGGTCCACACACTCACAGAGTTGGATTTTGTAAACTTTTATTTTGTTTTTATTTTTTAAGATAGTCCTGCTGAGTAGTCCAAGCTGGCCACAAACTGATTTTTTCTGCCTTCACTTCCCCAGTCCAGATTGGGGGAAGGGGAAGGTTTTATTTTTTTGTTTTTGTTTTTAGCCCAGGTTGGCCTCCCAGTAGAGATCCTCCTGCATCAGCCTCACCAGGGATAGATTGTCTGTGTGTACCACCATGCCTGGCTCACCTATATCTTTTCAATTACATGTGCTAAACCAAAAGGGAGAAATTTGTGGGAAATTTCTGCCGTCCGCTGTTGATATGATGGTGATGGCCAGAGGCTGCCAGCTGTTACTTGGCCAAAGTCAGCAGGTCTCATTTCACCCACTGTTTTCTGCTTCCTTCAATGATGTGCTATGATCACTTTAAAAAAAAAAATCATTGTTTGCTTTTTTTGAGACCCGGTTTCCCTGTAGCCCAGGCTGGCCTTGAATACACTATGGAACTGGGTCCTTTTCCCTGCCTCAGCCTCCTGAGTATGGGCTTACAGACATGAGCTTAATTTTACAGATGTGGAAACTGGCCCAGAGGGGTTCAGAAATATATTCAAGGTCGAACAGCAGAGACCACCTCAGTCAGAAGGTGACTGGTGTATTCCCTCTCGGTCTCACATCAACGTTTTTGAACATCAAGTTCAAAACCAAGATCGAGTTCTGGGACGAGGCCCCGGGGCAGGAACCCTAGGGCTCCCTAGGTGAGGGTGCAGCTTAGTCCAGCCCCTAGTTGCCCTGAACCCTGGAAAAAGCGCTCACTGGTTGGGTTTGTGGGGGAGGAGCGCCCTTTGCGAGCCTGCAGCTGTACCCTACGCCTGAGCGGGTCGCCACCCGCGTCCTCCACGGCCTCTGTTCCACGTTTGAGAGCGAACACCGATGCAAGTGGAACCTACGACGCAGCAAGGCCTGAGCCCTAACTTCCTAGCCTGACGCCAGGTTTCCTAGCCTGCAACCGTCAGTGGCGCTAGCTAGCAGCAAGAAATCTCCGCAGGTAAAGCACTGGATAGGTCGAGCCCTCTGTTTTGTCCCTGTCCCGCCCCAGGTCCCGCCCCTTCATTTGGCCCCGCCCTGGCGCGCTCCTGCCACTGTCACCTCGGGCCCGGCCCCGCCCGAACCGCGCTACCATTGGCGGTGGTGGCGAAGCCACTACCCCCACCCCAGCGGGGGAGGCTTGGGCGATGAATGAAGCGTGAGTGGGCTGCGCGCGAAGGCCAGAGCGCAAGGCGCAGCGCGGCAGCCGGGTTCGCAGGAAGGTGAGTGCTCTGGGACCTGAACAGCGTTGGGGATGCGGGCCAGGATGGGGACAGGGTCTGGCGCCGCCGCAGATCGCCTCTCAGGTGTGCGGTCAGGAGCGCGGCAGGTGTTCGCGGAGGCAGGACTGAAGGGCGGCGGCGCTGGGGCGGCGTGGGGTGCGATGTCTGGCGGGAAGCAGGCCCGGGCACCGGTGAGGCACCCTGGAGTCGCTCTGTGGGGACAGGGCGGGACCGAGGGAGCCGGATGCAGACTTCACTCCTTGCTGCCAGCTGCCTGCGAGGGAGCTGCGAGTCTGCAGAAAAGGAAGAGGCGGGAAGCAGAGCCGCTGCGCCAGAGAGAGAGGGAGGATGGGAGAGGGCTGGGTCACAGGACTGCATGCGGGGAGCCACCTGGGCTGCCGGCCTGGGTAAGGGGCCGCGAGCACACGCGGACGCAAGCCCATGCTGGCCTGACCAGGAACAGGTCTACCTGCGGCGGCGGCGGCGGCTGTTGCTCAGTCAGAGGAAAACGTGAAGCACAAAAGTTGCTCACGGGCGCCAGGCTTTGTCCCTGAGTCCCGGCACCTTCATGCCGCTCACGGGCGTCCCCGGGCACAGGTGAACGCCAACGAGGATTTCGGCCGCTTTGGTGCCTACTTGGCACGCTTGGTTCCAAACCCGGGAACCCGAGGCAGGGTACCTCCTTCTTCCCGGGGAGAGGTCAGCATCTGTAGGTGTACGGACGTGTGAGATAGAGACACAGTCGAACCCTGCAGCTTGTCGAGCCCCCAGGCTCAGTGGCCAGAGTTTAGCGTAATGAGGCTTGCTGGCCTTCCCCAGACATGGCCATGGGGTTTTTCTGTCTAGAGGCGTTGAAACCACGGTGGTTTATTCGTAATGGAACCAGCTCTCCATCCCTATTTCAGGGCAGTGGTTTTTCTAGTTTAGTAAACCAAGGCAGCTGTCTAGTCTACAGCTGTTAGGCAGCTTGGGGCAGGTGTCAGGGGAGAGAGCACCTGGGGTTTAGCAGAATTATTTATAACTCTTAGCTGTGGTAATGGGGACAGCAGGAACTGTTTGCTGAGCCTGGCATTTAATGGCTGGAGGCTTTGGACAAGAGCAGTTCCAGGCAGCTTTTTAAAGTCCTCTGGCATAGAGGAGCAGGCTGAGGCACTAGGATGTTTGGAGCGTCTAGAACGACACGGGGGAGGCTGGAGATTTGTACCCTTTGCCAGTCATTCTCAAGAAAAGAGGGATGCCAGGTCAGAGACTCAGTGACCGGAACAGGACAGTATCAATGACCAACGGAGAACAGGTACCTTTTGGCTGTCCATGTGCCGCAAAGAGTGAAAGACCACGTGTAAGACGGAGGGTCTCTTGGTTGGGTCCTCCTCGCTTTGCCTGCCCACTAGGAAAGGCCAACAGGTACTGCCTGGAAAATTCTTCCTGGATGATCTAATTGTGGTTCATTGGGTGTGGCCCCAGAAGCAGATGCTGGACAAGTCCCAACCAGAACCTTCCCCGGGACTGCAGGGGGGGCAGGCAGGCAAGAAAAAGGTTGTGACTGGGCAGAGATGGGCAGGGCAGGCAGGATAAAAACTTTGTGAATGGGCCCAGCAGGAGAGCAACTGATGCCCAGTACCTGCCCCGCACAGCCCCTGGTGTGAGGCGCCCTGCGCAGCAGTTTGGACTCTATGCCTGCCTGACTTCCAGACACCCAGGTTTTCTCAGTTCACTGGTACTGAAGTTTGGGACCTGGTGCTCTAACTGCGAGTCTCCTATTACAGAAGGCTTCTGACTTAGCCTATTTCCAACGTGGGTACTGCTGCACTGTATGAATTCATACCTTTGTCATCTAAACTGGAACAGGTTGAGTTCTCAAACTTTCTCCAGTGGGTCCCTTTCAGGTTGAAACATTTAAGACACATAAAGGCCAGTGCTGACTCTGGTGCTCTTTACAGGCAGGAGGGGACACCCTCCTTCCCCTTGAGGTACATTCAGTGCCTTACGAAGCACAGAGAACAAGTACTTCCTTCCCGATCCCCATGACCACTGGAAGAGATCATGGGTTAGTTCTTGGAACCTAACACCAACCATGTTCTGGGATTCTAGTGAAAGTCTGACCTTGGTGTGGTCTTGATGAATGTAGGGGACAGGAGGCACGACCCTAGTTCTCAGCCACTGTGAGTCATTGGACAGGCCCTCAGGGATTGTGTCCCCATGTGTGAGGTGGCCAGAGTTTTGCCTGACCAATGGAGCCTGGAAGCCATGATGGTGGGGAGTAGAGGAAATGAGCCAGCATGCTGGACCTGGGTTGCATCCTCTTGTGGATCAATGCAGAGGCAGCAGCTGGGTCAGGGTGGTCTGGGATCTTCCTTCCCTCTGCTTCTCTTGATCAGCTCCAAACTTGCTGCTCTCAGATGGGGGGGGGGCCTCTGGTTTTCCCCCACATGCCTTCTTTCCCTGTGGACAGGTGTGATGACCTCATTCTTGTTAGCATTGCAAAGAATTAGAATCAGCTGAGTGTCGTGGCGCACACCTGAAATCCCAGCACTCAGATGGCAGAGACAGCCAGTGAGTTCAAGGCCAGCCTAGTCTACATAGTGAGTTCTAGGACAACCAGGGCTTCATAGTGAGATCCTGTCTTGAAAATACAAAAACAGGGGTTAGGGATTTAGCTCAGTGGTAGAGCACTTGCCTAGCAAGTGCAAGGCCCTGGATTCAGTCCTCAGCTCTGAAAGAAAAAAAAAAAAAGAAAATACAAAAACAAACAAACAAAAAAGAATTAGAATCCTGGACCACATCTGTAGATGAAGGTGGTGCTTTCTCAAACCACAAGTCTTTTAAAAAACTACTCATGTGTGGATCAGAAACTGGGGGGCATGGGTAGGCTGAGGCTTGTTGCCTTTGTCTGGGCTTCAGATATCCAAAATATGAGAGCCCTTTCTTCTTCCCCACCCAAGTGCTATTCAAGCACTCATTTTTTGTTTTTGTTTTTGTTTTTCGAGACAGGGTTTCTCTGTGTAGCTTTGTGCCTTTCCTGGATCGCACTCTGTAGCCCAGGCTGGCCTCGAACTCACAGAGATCCACCTGGCTCTGCCTCCTGAGTGCTGGATTAAAGGCATGCACTGCTACCGCCCGGCCCAAGCACTCTTTTCTTATGCCCCATCTTTGCCTTGCAACTTTTAAACCTGCAAGCTTTGCAGACCCACGTCACAGAGAGCACTTAGGATTATCTGAGAATGGTCCTCTCCACCCCACCCATACATACTGGGGACCCTTGAATTTTGTGCTTGGGGTCCCTTTGGCTAGAATATCCTGCAGCTACATTTGCACCCTAAGAGGCCACCTGGAGGCAGTGGCTTGGCTATACCAGGCAAGTCCTTTATCTAGCTAGAACTACCCCTTCTGAACCTAAGAGGACCTTGAAAATCATGAAGGTTGTCACCAGAACCCCTCACTGCCTCCCTTTGCCCCCCAGAATGTAAAAGAGCTGTGAGAACCATGAGAACTGCCTCATGGTCCCCTGTTTCAGGAAAACTCTGGCTCTGACCATCACACCAATAGTCAGCAATGCAACAGAGTCAAAGCTAGCTACTTTTGTCCCTATCAGATGAGCTGAGGGACGTCAAGTGAGGTGTGTGGGCTTCTTGGAGTCTGGGAGTGCCATACCTCAGAGGTTGGGGTTACTGTAGGTCTGTTTCCCATGAGCCTTAGTGGCAGCCGGGCCCATTTATGTAGAAGGCTAAGTCCTTAACCTCATACCACATTGCAGGAGGGAAGCTGCCGATCAGAGAAGCTTGTGACTTACCAAGTGGGGAAACACCTGCCTGCCTTGGAGGCAGTCTCTACTGTGCCTCTGTTTCTCAAATACACCTTGATTAGCAGGCTTCCATTCCTCTCTGGAGAGTGGTGCCTGGCAGAGCCCTCTGCATGCTTCTGGATCCCCAGATCCAGACAGGGTGGGAAACCCTATGTAGGTTGAGACAGCAGACTTTATGTGTGGGACAGCTCATTCTGGTGCCAGCCTTGGTGTCTCGTATTCAAATTCCCTGTCAATTAGTCCATGGCAGCTTCTGTGCAAAGCAGCTTTTACCTGCACGTGGCTACCAGGTGTGCAAACGAGGTGCTTTAGTGGCTGACCCATATCCTGGCCCCATTGCCTGAGCTTCATCCTGAAGAAGTGAAAACACACTCCACTTGTGTATAAGAGGAGATACCCAGGAGAAATTAGGAGGCAGGGAAGAGTCCCAAGGTCACGGGGGTGGCTGCTGACTGGGGTGTGTTGTCAGCAGAAGGCCCAGGAGAAAGTTGGGCCTGGTTTGGCGGTGGCCCCAGAGCAGTTCGCTGCAGTGAATAGAGAATTGCTTTTGTCTCCTTCTCTTTCTGGCTGTAGCTGGGGGTGTTGGGGCTGAGGGGAGAGGAGAGGAGAGGAGAGGAGAGGAGAGAGGAGAGGAGAGGAGAGGAGAGGAGAGGAGAGGAGAGGAGAGGAGAAGGGAGAGGAGAGGAGAGGAGAGGAGAAGGGAGAGGAGAGGAGAGGAGAGGAGAGGAGAGGAGAGGAGAGGAGAGGAGAGGAGAGGAGAGGAGAGGAGAAGACAAGACAGAGGGGAAGAGAAATGAATCTGGTTTGCTGGCTGTCAAGGTCTGAGGAGGTTCTAGGATTTAGGTCTCAAAGTGTCCCCAGACAAGGACAGAATCATGCTAGACATCCCGGGTTTAGGACCTTAAGATGTCCTAGGAATGGCCTGCAGAGACCCAGGTAGCAGGGACCTGGGGCAGAGAACTACTCTGAAATCCTTTCTTCCAAATTGCAGTGTGAGCTGAGGCCTGGGGGACTGCTCCGGCTGGGAGTTTAGAAAATAGATGGACAGGAAATAAGCAAGCATGGAGGAGCATGCAGCCAGGCAAACTAGTCCTTTTCTCACTGATTGGGCTGTGGCAGGCTGCCTCTGACCACTGAACTCACAGACTCTGAGGAGGAGGCCACGGCTGGATTCTTCCAGGACTAAAAGACATCATCAGCTAGATGCTGCACTTGCAGCCCTGAAGGCAGTATGGAGGACTTGTAAGGGAATCTTGATCACCTGTGGCAGCCTAAAATAGCCCACATGTGTTACCCACGCCTGTGCACATGCCTACCCTCCCCACAGTGCTCAGGTGTGGAGTTGTCAGCTGACAGCAGAGGCCCCAGGGCTTCATCATCCTTGGCTAATCAGCTTGGCCTAATCCCACAGGGCTGTGCTGCTGGGCTCTCTGGGTGGAGCCAGCCTGGCGGGCTAAGACAGAACAGGCTCACTAGAGAGTGGGCTGTGGGAAAGATCCATATCCCTGCTCCTCCCCACCTGAGCAGTGGTGGTTCAGCCGAACCTCCTCAGGCTGAGAAAGCTCCTCAAGCCTGGTGCCAGCTTCTCCTGGCCTCACATACTTTTCTTCTCCAGTACACAGCTGCTAGAAGTGGAAGCAGATTCAGGGCTGGGGCTGCCACACAGGCAGGCCTCACTCCAGTGGTCCCTCCCACCAACAGCTGTTTAGTGGTGATGGTGGGGGTAGTCACATGGCTGGAGTCCCAGTGTGAGAAAGGTCTCTGTCCTAGGATAACTGTCAGGAGTACAAGGCCCTTCTGAGGGGAGTGATGGACCTGTCTCCCATGTAAATTGGAGTCAGTAGGGATGTATTCAGGAAGCCCAGGCAGCCCACATTTGGCCATGGACACAAGGGTGCTGGATGTTCTGTGAAAGGCTCTTCTCTTACAGCAATGAGTGAGCAAGTCCTGGCTCTATGTGTTTAGCCCCAAAGGAGCCTGGATTCTGCTGAACTGCAACTACACATGGCTAGCAAGGAACTCTTAAGGACTGCTCATGTGTAGTGGCTGTGGGACCCTATCCTGGGGGTGGGTCCCTGAACCCTGGTGCCTAGCAGAATTCCCACCCATAGCAGAGCGGTATCAGTGCCAAAGGAATGGCATGACCTTGCGTGAGGCAGGGTTCTCTAGAGAAGGACAGACAATGAGAAATATAAGGGGATTTATTATTAGGAACTGGCTCATGAGATTATGAAGATGGACAGGTACCAAGATCATGAAGACAGTAAGCTGGGATGCCAGGCTCCCTTGGGCTCTACCCTTACGCACACACACAGCCAAGTCCTCCAGAAAGTGGTGCGTATGGACACCATGGTGTCTCCTTCAGAAACCCCTCACTGACATGCCCACAGTGACATGTGACAAATGTATGGACACCTGGAGTCTAGCCAGCCTGACACTGGGGTCTGCTCCAGCCATCCCATAGCCTAGCAGATCCTAGGAAGAAACTTGAAAGCTAGTGACTGGGACATACTTCAGCAGCACCATCCTCCTGATATCAGAATGACAGCTGTGGGTGTGGGCATGGAAGCCCAAAGATTGATATGTATGCAATGAGATCTTTTTCTTTTATTGGAGGTGATGATGGGGTGTATGTTTGTGTTATTGTTCATGTGTGTGCAGTTGCACATGGTGTACACATATGTGAAGGGTAGAGGACAACCTCAGATGTTCCAAGCACCATCTATCTTGCTTTTTGAGACAGGGTCTCTCACTGACTTGGCAGGTAGACTAAGCTGACTGGCCAGTGAGCCTCTGGAATATGCCTGTCTTTACCTCCTCAGTGCTGGGATTGTAAGCATGCACTGTGAAATTCAGCTTCAAAAAACCATGTGTTCTAGGGATTGGAACTCAGGTGCTCATGTTTGCAAGACAAACACTTTACCAACTGAGCTTGGCCCCATTTTTAAACATTTTTTTTTAAATTTATGTGGCTGTGTGAGTATATGCCTTCTGTATGTGGGTGCCCACAGAGGCCAGAAAAGGACATTGGACCTCCTGGAGCTGAAGTTATGGGTTATAAGACACCTATGGGTGCTGGAAATGGAACTCAGGTCCTCTAGAAGAGCAGGGAGTGCTCTTAACTGCTGAGCCATCTTTACCACCTTGCAGCCCTGTCTTTTTTAAGTAAGTCTCTAGCTTAGGTTGGCCTTGAACTTGTGATCCTTCTATCTCTATCCCCCCATATGCTGGTTTTACTGGTATGTGCCACATGCCTCGTCAACTACGCCACCCTACATTGAAAAGGTAGCAAACATCAGAAAGTCACTTGACTAATATTTAAAGTAGGATTTCAACTTGCTCATTTCAGTGTAGAATGTAGATAAGTCTAATTTTAGATTGTGCTTCAAATATTTGTCAGTGTTCTTAGCTCAGGTGAAACCGTGGTGACGTTGGTGCTTCGGACACCTACAGCTAGAATGCTTCTGAGGTGGCTCTCATTTTCAAGGAAGAAATCCCTCAGTTTCCTGCTGTCTGCTGCTGATCACAAAAACTGCCATCTGAGTTCCATTACACCGTGTACACTGAGCTGCCTGTCACCTGTGTAGTCCCCAGTGGCTGTCCGGGGGGTAGGGTGGAGGGAGCACAGCGGGCATGAGGCCAGCCTGGATTAAAGGCAAAAACAAACAGCACTCTGGTGACCTTGAGTCTTTTCCTTCTGACTCTCCCTGTGCCCTCAGAGTTTGCTTTCTGTTTCAACCCCAAGTTCCAAGGCTGGCATGCAGTATGGCCGTTCTCACCCGCCTACCTGGTCCTACCCTGCTCCTCCTTGTCCCTCTTCTGTCCTGTTCCACTGCAGTCTGAGAAAGTAGACTAAATGTGCTTGCTTTGGGGCAGGAGAGATGGCTTGGGCAGCAAAGAGCTTGCTGTCCAGACGTGAGGACCTGAGTCGGACCCCCACTATGTATGTGAAAAGACAGGCATGGAGACACACCTGTAATGCCAGAGCAAGGGAGGCGGGACGGAAAGATCTCTGGGACTTGCTGGGCAGCTAGCTTAGCCAGCGCAGTGAGCTCCAGGCTCCATAAGAGACCCTGTCATAAACGACAAGGTGATGAGCTGGTGAGATAGCTTAGCCCGTGGGGACACTTGCCACCATGTCTGATGACCTGAATTCAACCTCTAGGACTTACATAGAAGCAGAGAACTGACTCTGGCACACTGTCCTGTGACTGCCACACGAAATCTGTGTGCACCCCCCATAAATAAATAATATAATTTTAAAAATAGAAATTAATTGAGGAAGACACCCCATGTTGGCCTCTGGCCTGTACATGAATGTGTACATATGTGCATATACATATGTGTATACAAGCTACTCTGCTGTCTAGGTGGGGCCTGGCTACACTGGCTGCCCGAGGAAGGTTTGACTCTTATTCCCACAACATGAAAACTGTCCCGGCCTCAGGTGCTCTCTTCTGGCACTGTCCTTCTCAGGCAGGGACACCAGCTTGTAGAGAAGCATTGGCACAATGAGTAGTACCCCAGGCATGGTCACTGGCACCAATTACACCCGGAGTTCTTATGGTAGAATCTCTGCTGTTCACAGCCTCAAAATACAGCTACTGATGCCAGACAGTGCCAACTTGTAAAAGTCAGCCTGGGACCAGCGATGGGTCACAGTGTCCTTCAGAAGAGGGCTAAGTTGTACTATGTGGAACCAGCCGTGAGTTAGGTCTGAATTACTGCTGACTGGCTGACCATCAGACACTTCTGCTTCTACAACAGAAGACAGTTTGGACAGGCAAGGCCACAGAGGACAGAGTGCAGGTCTGGGCCCTGTCTGTGTCTCAGCTCTGCTCACTGCTTGGCGGTCTCCATCTAGCAGCTCTGTCTTCAGTGTTTTCAGATGTGGCCACACCTTCAAAGTACTGGAATCCAGTCCCTGAGACCAGACCAGGTGTGGCTCACTGGCAGCAGGGCTGTAGTCAGGAGCAAAATGAATGAGTGAGGGGTTGGCCAGAGGCCACTCTGAGTCAGAGAAGGCTTACCCCAGTGATGGACTATGTGGGAACTGAATGTTCATGTACGAATGTCAACAGATTAGGGACGTGTTTGCTAATGAGAAATTCTATTCACAGAATAGACCCAGTGACAAGACAATCTCTCATCTCATCAAGCCACCTCTACCGCATCTCACCTGCTGTGCTGCGAAAGCCCTCTGCACGAGGCTGGAGATGCCCCAGCACGCCATGGGGGACAAGCATTTCCTTTCCCTCCCAAAGCACCTCTTCACCAGTGCGCCCTCAGCCACAGACAGCGGGTGTGACACTCCACCCAGCAGCAGAGCATCCCCAGCCTCCCTGCGCTCTGCCCACAGCCCTCTGGACTCCTCCAGCCAACACCTGTTTGAGCCCCAGGTTGAAAAGCGGAGTAGCCAGACAGCCCGTGAGGTGCAGTACAAGTCTGCAGGGCCAAAGAGCATGCTGTGTGGCTGGCAAGCCTTCACTCCCAAGTGTTTACAGGTCTTCAACACCCCCAAGGGCTTCCTCTTCTTCCTGTGTGCAGCCTCCTTCCTTCAGGGCATGATAGTGAATGGCTTTATCAACACCGTCATCACCTCCATCGAGCAGCGCTTCGACCTGCACAGCTACCAGAGTGGGCTCATCGCCAGCTCCTATGACATCGCTGCCTGTCTCTGCCTTACCTTTGTCAGCTACTTTGGGGGCAATGGGCACAAGCCGCGCTGGCTGGGCTGGGGTGTGCTGGTCCTGGGGGTTGGCTCCCTGGTGTTTGCACTGCCCCACTTCACTGCTGGCCACTATGAGGTGGTGATGGATGAGGAGGCGGGGACAGGGGCATGTCTGGCCAACAGGAGTCATGTGGAGTGTATGGACTCAGGCCTGTCCAGCTACAGGCTGATTTTCATGCTGGGCCAGCTGCTGCATGGTGTGGGTGCCACACCTCTCTACACACTGGGTGTCACCTACCTGGATGAGAATGTCAAGTCAAACTATTCACCCATCTATATTGGTGAGTGGAACTTGCCAAGGAGTCAGGATGGGTAGACAGAGGGACCAGATGGTGACATTGGTAGAATGAAGTTGATACTTTCTGGGAGCCTGGCTAGATAATCTTATGTCCCTCCGTTGGTCATATGACCCAGGTGCCCCTAACTTGAAGTGGCACAGCCATCAGGGGTTTCACCAAAGACAGGAGAGTAGATGCTAACTTTTCTAAGAAGCCCTGCAGGGACTTCAGGCCAGAAATCTTAGAACAACCGCACACTAGGTAGGGCCTGCTAAGGAACCCCCAAGTCCTCAGGCAGGGCTGGGGCAGGGTTAGCTGGCATTGAGCCTCCGTGGTTTGGAAGGAGTCCTGTGCAAAGGTGAGTGGGGAGGAATAGAGCCTGGCTCCCTGTATGATCTGTGTGTTCTCTGTGCCTGGCCTCTCTAGGTGGGAAATAAGTGGTGAGAATTTAGAAATGCTGAGACTTTGAGGCAAAGCCACAAAACAGTTCACAGGTTCTGTGTCATGGCCTGTGACCATGTGTCAAGGCAGCTGCATGCAATGCTGCTAAGCTCACTGTCCATGCAGGTGGCCTCGGATTTTATGCCCTCCCAGCTCAGGCTCCTGTTGGGGATGGGGGCAGTAGGAAGCCCATCAGTCATTGCAGACTCCCCTCTCTCTCTCCAATGGCCTTCACCTCCTGCTTTGTCCATTTATGCCTCCCTTTCCATGTTCCTCCTGTATGAACACTGCCCTCACCATGCAAAACAGAGTCATAGCATCTCTGCTTTCATGTGAGTACAAATGATGTCCAGAGTGCACTTTTGGGGACATTTTAAAAGTTGATGACTGGATATCATTCCCAGTTGCAGGCCACACAGATGCACTCTGACCTAAAGGGGCCCGCAGCGGGGCTGTAGGCATCTCTTAGGAGGGCCCGCTGGGTGGCGTGTGACGACTGCACACTCTGTTTGCCTTCTAGCCATCTTTTACACGGCAGCCATCCTTGGACCTGCAGCAGGCTACCTGATTGGAGGAGCCATGCTAAATGTTTACACAGAAGTGAGCCAACGGTGAGTAACTGGGCACATCCACTTGCCTGCCTCAGCACCTGGGATGCTGTGGGCCCCAAAAGATGTGTCTGATATTCAACATGAGGCTGGAGCAGGGAAAATCTGGGCTAGTTTTGGCTATAGGGATTGGGTCTTTGGGTGGCTTCAAGGACATAACCAGGGAAAGGTGAGAGACATGGGGGGGCAGGGTTCAAGGTTACATGATTATGAAGCCCTGGCCATGTATCTTCAGGCTCTTCTCTTGAAGTGACAGGTAGTGCGTCTGTATCTTTAGTATCTAGTTTTTGTAGATGTAAGTGGGAGAGTGAGGAGTGAGAGGGATGGAGGGAGACAGAGCCGGGAGGTTGGGGTGGCCCTTGCTGACTACTGCCCAGCAAGGCTGTGCAGATGGCCTGGTCCTCTGTCCTACCATGGGAGGGCAGCCCTTGTTGAGCTTTTCCATAGCTGTGTTGGGTCTTGGGCACCACTCCACCTTGGGACTCTCTCTGCAGATGGCGCCAGCGAGGTTTCTAGTGCTCTGCCCTCTCAAAATGCCGCCTCTAGCCCTGGGTTGATACTATGGGGTCAAGGGTGCGTGTTCTATGCAGAGCCTGAGGTAGGTCAAGGCTCGTGTCCCCAGATCTGGATGTGTTGTGCCCCTTGGGCTCTGGGTTCTGAGTCACTCTGCACATGGGGGTGGGAGCGCGATCCAGGCCTTGGGGCAGCTTCCTATTACACCAGAGCAGAGGTTTTACACTGCTGTCTTGACCTTGCTGCCTAGAGTCCTTCCTCCATTCCTCTCCTGTCCCTTATCCCTCCATCCCTTACTGCCCCTGCACCCTTTTCTTCCCAAGTATGAAACCCCATTGGCCAATTGCTCCCTTCCCACAACTTTTCCTGTCCAATTTGAGAGCCCCCCTCTTTCCTCCTATGCAGATGGCAGTCGGACGGCTAATGGTTCCTGTGTGGGTAGTTCAATGAACTCCAGCTGAGCCCTTTGTCCCCTGAGCTCTGTGGCCCTGAGGATGCCAGCTGGTGTGGGGAGGGACACCAGCTGTTACTTGAAGCTCCTGTCCCCGATGGGCCTTGCCCCCAAGGTCTTAGTCTGAGGCCCAGATGCAACATCCCTGGGTCCAGCAGTCAGAGTCTGAGTGAGGAGCTGCTGTCTTAGTGAATGGCCACATCAGAGGGCTTCTCCAGTCTGAGGGAGAGGTGACCGTATAGCTCTAGCCCCATAGGCCTCTGTTGCCCTCTGCGCAGAGATCCTAGGGGGAGTGAGCAGGCTACCCCATGCATGTGCTGGAAAGGACATGGGTGGCTGGTCAGTAATCCAAGGACCATGGCTTCTCCCAATAGGACAGAGCTGACCACTGACAGCCCACTGTGGGTTGGTGCCTGGTGGATTGGCTTCCTGGGAGCTGGGATCACCGCATTCCTCATCGCCATCCCCATCCTTGGCTATCCCCGGCAGCTACCAGGTGAGTTCCCATCCAGGAGGCAGGATATATTGTTTCCTGTCCTGTCCCCTTTTCTCTGTCATTTCAACTAACGAGGGATAGACTCTTTGGTCTCAGTCTTCCTCTGTGTGAAGAGCAAGGTTGACCAAGCCTGCCTGCTACCCCTCCCATGTCTCCACCAGAAACGACCCCTTCACTTCCATTCTACTGGGCCCACATGACCCTCTGCTCTCATATCTGCAGACCTGTCACATGACAACCTCACCTCTTCTGGCCCACGTCCTCAGGCCTTAGACTGCAATGCTGCATGTGTGTCAGCATGCCGTGTCCCCAGGTCCTGAGGGGTGGAGGAGTCGGGGTGGGGGGCAGCCTCCATGGAGTATGTGATGTCCTCTAGAAGCTATCTGCTGACTCTTTCCCTCCAGGTTCCCAGCGGTACAGCGTTACCAGAGCGACTGAAACAGAGCAGCTGAAGGGCCACAGCCACAGAGCAGTGAGCAATCCGACTTTCGGCAAGACTGTCAGAGACCTGCCCCTGTAAGGAGTGTGTGTGTGTGTGTGTGTGTGTGTGTGTGTGTGTGTGTGTGTGTGTGTGTGTGTGGTGGGTCCCACATGGGGTCAGTGCACCCTCCATACCATCCACAGCCTCTGAATCCCCTTCTTGACCCAACAAGCACCCCAAGACATGGGCAGCAAGCTCCTGGATGAAGGCACAGGCCTGGCTGAGGCCAGAATCACTGTAGGAGGCCCCACAGAGCAAATGTCTTTCTATGGTATGCCCCTCTGTGTACCTGCAGGCCTGGAGCCCTCCCCAGGGAGCCCCTCGGGCAGTATAGACCACTCTTGTCCTTCATTGGGCATCACCTATGCATTTGCTATCAGAAGCTCTAAGGAGGTACCATTCTGAACCACCACAGGACAGAGAACCACAGGATCAGAGGCCTCTCTCACTGGCAATTCTCCTCCCCTGGGGTGGTCTTTTCTATGCTTTCTGTCTTCACTCCATCCCCCTTTTCCGTCTGTCTGTCCTGACTCTGCTGTCTTTATGCATCAAGGTACAGTCTCTGAGCCACTGGGGTCTTAGAGAACAATGTGGGTTCTAGGAGTCTCTGGTACTTACTTATGTCTCCTCGTGAAACTGAGCTTTCCATAGACCTAGGGAAGGTGGCCTCGGGAAGCATTGCAACTCCTTCATATGTCCTGATCTTATGAACGGTGGTGTCTAACTGACCGCTTGGGAGTGGAGGCCTATTGTGGGTAGGGCTGAGTCCACAGCCTGTTCTTAACACAGGGAGGGCAAGGGTAGCCTCCCAGAGAACACAGAGGAACAAAGTGAGGCTGGTAAAGGTGGAGATGCAAGGTCTTTGTATCTCATTACTGCTCACCTAGGAGAGCCAGGAGTTGCCTACCTAAGAGGGCTGAGCCCCAGGCACGGCTGAACTGGCTGAGGGCCTACTAGTTAATCTTAAAGTTGTCTGTGTTAAGCCCTCTAGGGTAGAATAACATGGCATGAGCTTTGTCAGCTGGGGAACCTGGGCCTCTTACCAAGTATTATACAGTAAGGGGTTCATGCCGAGGGTTAGTGTCTGAAGCCAGGTGCTGGAACTAAACAAGCACAGGAATGTGGGCCTCCTTTAAGATCATGAAAGTCATGGCCAGTTCTCAGGGCAAACTCAAGAGTCTCAACCAACCAACCTGCAGTGGGATTAGACACTTTGTGTAACATGTTCCGCATGGCAGAGCCACTTCATCCTCAACAACCAACAGCCTGAAGCTAAGCAGGTCTAGACAATACCTTTAGGAGTGGACAAGCTTGTGCGTGGCTATCCCACACCAGACATACCCCAGCGGGGGAGGGGCTGGGAAGGGTCAGCACCCTGAGCCTGTAGGTCCCTGACGGGGCCACAGTTCCTCCACGGCTGCTTTGTCAGAACACAGAGCTGAACAATTGACTGGAAGGACTTTTCAACCCTCAAGTTAAGAAGTAAAATGTAAAGGAATTGGGTTGCTCTCCCTTCGAAGGAATTCTGTGAGTGTCTCACTGGGGTCAGTCTGACCTCCCAATGACTCTAGTCAGTGTCTAGGAAGCAGTGGGTTCTTGCAAGTGTGAACTTTCTCATGGAGCCTGCTGACGGCGGGACTGTGAGCTGATCCTGGCTTCTCTTCAGAGTATTTTTGGCCCATATATCCTCTGCATGCAGAGTTGAGTATGAAGCTGTGGGGCTCCCTTGCTGATGCTTGGGATTATCGTCTCTTAGGTCTAGATTGGTCGAGAGAGTGACTCTCAGGGCACTGATGTATGGTGGCCACACAGGAGACAGGGAGCAGGCACCGGCTCACCAAGTCTTGATAAGCTAAAGGAGCAAGTTAGAAGGAGCACAGCATGCAAGCAGCGTTGTTCATCCTCTCGCTAAGAGCCAGTCACCTTCCCAGGCTTCTAGAAGCAGTTTCCCTGCAGAAAACAGTGTGGCTACTGCACCACAGCTGACTTCAAGGAATGCCCTGCCCCTGTGTGAGCCGTGACTGAGAAAGGTGACTGTGGGGCACGGCAGTCACTTGTACGGTGACCAGCTGTGTCCCCCAGGGGCTCTGTAGGGTTTCACACCAAGTCTCCTGTGATATCTCATGTTCAACCCCACAGTCAGCACACAGCCCTTACCCCAGGGAAGCTAGAGCCTGACTCCCAGCGGGCAGGTCGGCGGCGCCTTTAGAAGCACTGCTCAGATGGCTGTGCTGTCCTGCCCAGGGTCTGTGCTGCCACACCCTGGCTACTCTGCCAGGGTCCTGGGAAGACAAGTCAGGCACCTTCTCACTGTGTGGCTGCTGGTGTGGCTGATGCCTTTTGCATCCCAGAAGGGATGGCAGGGGGAGGGAAAAGCCAGGTGAGGGAACCCAGGGTTTGCAGTGCCGGGGCCTTAGATCCTCAGGACTCTAGGCCAAAGTCACTAGGGGATTACCAGAATCCATCTGACCACCAATCCTACCATCACTCCTATAGCCACTGTCCCCTAAGTACAGGGCAAGAGAAGGGGCGCTAGCCAAACCCAGTAGAGACTCCTTGAATGTCCCTGTTTCCAAACGCAGAAGATGCCTGCCCCTTCTCCCCAGAGCCTGTGGTTGGGAGTCTGTACCACTCTTGGTGACTCCTGTGCCTTCTAGATCCCTACACCTTGGTGACCTCTTACCCGTTGATTACCCCCACCCCTTGGGAGCCCCCTTCCTAGACCTGTCCAGCCCTGAGCTTGGTGGTCACCCTTACCCAGAGCCTCTGCTACTTCGTCACAGTGGCTACCAGAGGTGACTACTGTCTTTATTCACCCGAGGTCTGTCTCCCTGTCCCCACACTGAAACTGGAGATCAGCCACAGCAGTGACTCGTCTCTGTAACTTGTTTTAGTAGCTTTGAGGACAGGTGCACCAAAGGCTGGTAGTGGGGCCATTGATTCACTACCTGCCAAGCTCAGCCTTTCACCCCCTCCTGGTGTCCGGGATAGGTGTGGGTACCACTTCACTGCCTTCTCAAAACCAGTGTCCTTTGTGTGTGGATATGGCAGGAGTGGCAGGTTCCTTACATACAAAGTCTGACCCTCTGTCCTTTTCTGGTCCCTATTCCCCTTTCACGCAGCTCGATCTGGCTCCTTCTAAGAAACCCCACATTCATCCTGCTCTGCCTGGCAGGGGCCACTGAAGCCACACTCATCGCCGGCATGTCCACATTCGGTCCCAAGTTCTTCGAGGCCCAGTTCAGCTTGAGTGCCTCCGAGGCTGCCACGTTGTTTGGTAAGGAGACAGAGCATTGGAGTACTCTGCAGAGAGGGCTATGACTCCTGCACATGCTAATCACAGCCTTCAACCTCCAAGTGGACAATGCTCCAAGGCGGAGGGCAGGGTCAACTCCTACACACAGGCCGCTTTACCCACCATTCATTAAAGAAACATTTTGAGCATGGCTGTCCCCATGAGCCATGCAGCCAGTGCCCCAGAGTCTGGGGATCTAAGTTTGAGTCTCTGTACCTGCCTGACAGGACTCTATGGCAGGCTGGCCTTGCAGGGATTGCAAGAGTGGGCACCATCTAGAGCCCTTACTCAACCAGCGCCCACGGCCTCCCTATGCTGAGGGCAGGCCCACAGCCTTACTGATCACACTTTGGGCTGCAGATGCACCATGTCCTGGTCGGCACTAGGCTCGGCCTAGGGTATTGACCAGTGTGGATGGAAGGCATCAGCTGCAGTCCACCCTGCAGATCTCACTGTCTGGGTAGTGAAAGGGTGTCATATTGGTGACCCCGCTCTCCCCAGACACATCCTTACCTGGCCCAGACGCCCATACCTGATGGCTCTCTCCCTTTCTCAGCACTTTCCTGTGCTGACGCCCGCACCCCTTGTATACCCACAGTGGGCCTGTGTTATTGAGCTCTGGGCTTCCAGGCTGAGAGAACCCACTCTACTCCCATAGCTGTCCCTGAGCACCCATGGTCCTCAGTGTCCACAGTAATGATGCAGCAATGGCAGGACCAGGGTTTGGGGCCCTCACTGAGTTCCTTCCTCAGGATACCTGGTGGTGCCAGCAGGCGGTGGTGGCACGCTCCTGGGTGGCTTCCTGGTGAACAGATTCAAGCTCCGTGGCTCTGGGATCATCAGGTTCTGTCTGTTCTGCACCTTGACCAGCCTCCTGGCCTTCTTTGTCTTCCTCACTCACTGTCCCAACATGCCCATGGCAGGTGTGACAACTGGCTACGCTGGGAGGTGAGCCTGGCAGAGGCCTGGCAGAGGCCCCACATTCCTGAGGAGAGCTGGCGCTGGTGGGGAGGTGCAGGGTCACAGCAACACAGGGGCAGGGAAGTATTCCAGAATGCCTGCACACGTGCTAACACACCATCCAATGCCCCATTTCTGCAGCCCCCTGCCTGAAGGCCACTTGGACCTGAAGGCGGCTTGCAACGCCATCTACTGTTGCCAGGCAGAGCACTACAGCCCCCTGTGCGGTTCAGACGGCATCATGTACTACTCGCCCTGCTATGCAGGCTGCCCTGTGGGTGCTGAGACAGGCCCGGGTGGCCAGAAGGTGAGTGTGGTCGCTGCCCACTGCCCTGCTCTGGCCGGGACCGGGAAGCCTCCGCCTTCCGTGTATGATCAGCGTTGTTGTTGGGCTCCCCAGATATACCGAGGCTGTAGCTGTGTCCTTGAGAAGGTTTCCTCTGGCTTGGGCAATGCTACCGCAGGGAAGTGCGCTTCCACCTGTCAGAGAAAGCCCCTCCTTCTGGCTCTCGTGTTCGTTGTAATTATCTTTACATTCCTCAGCAGCATTCCAGCTCTGACCGCCACTCTACGGTAAGAAGCTCTCACCACGTTTTTCTCTTTCAGTACCAGCAGGTGGTGCTCTGCAGATGCTGGTGGGCCCTGGGGTAGCCGCAGGCCCAGGAAATGGGCCGCGTTCTAGTGGCATCGGAGTTGACTGTCTCTGGTCCCCAACGAGGTGTTTGGCACCTAGGGAGGTGGCGATGTGGCCAGGACTCTTGCTGGTGTAGGGGTGTGAGGTGCGCAGCCAAGCTCCCACGGGCTCTGACATTGCGGTTTTCATTGCAGGTGTGTCTGTGATCAGCAAAGGTCCTTTGCCCTGGGGATCCAGTGGATTGTCGTGAGAACACTAGGTACTGTGTGGGGTGAGGAAGCCATGTACAGGTGTGCAGTGCGTTCATGAATAAGGAACCTAGAGGTGGCCTATCACCAAGCTGTGTGTTACTGTGCCCGCATGAGGCCCTGGACCACACTGAGATGGGCCTTTTCCCTAAATGCCCACTAGAGGGACCCATTGTCATTTCTTTACCCAGTAGGTTTCTTTCCCTCAACACAAAAGGGCCCTCTTGCCCAATGCCAATTCTTCAGAAAAAGGAGTTAAGTCCCCTTTGTACCCGTGAGAACGCAAATGGGCAATGTGGTCTTGGGTCTTCCCTGTGGTTCACCCTTTCTTCCCCCATCAGGGTACTAAAGGAACTCTCTCCTTTGGCAGGCAGTATTCCAGGGCCCATTGCCTTTGGCTGGGTGATTGACAAGGCCTGCCTGCTGTGGCAGGACCAGTGTGGCCACCAGGGTTCCTGCTTTGTGTACCAGAATGAAGCCATGAGCCGCTACATGCTCATTGCAGGGCTCACTTTCAAGGTGAGATGGCCTTCTGGGGTCTGACTCCACTCTCTTTCCCCACCATCCTCCTACTTCGACCTCCTACCTTGTCATAGATGAAGGCACAGCCATGGGGTTATGACCACCCTGACTCCAGCTGACTTCACAGAGGCTGTGTTGTCCTTCACAGTTTCGAGGGACACAGCTGGTACATGTCTTTCAGGGGACCCTGTTCAGGCAGTGCCAGTTCCTTCCACCTTTCCTTGGCCCCTTCTTTTAACCAAATGGCAGTTTGCATTCTCTAACTGAAGTACTGGTTCCCCATGAGGGACTCTTTTTGCAAGAAAGGTGTGTCTTTGTAGGGCAGAGTACTACAAAAACAGCCCCTGGGCTGGGCCCAGAGCCCCCAGGCTGTCCAGGGCCAACACCTCTTGTCTCCCCAGGTGTTGGGCTTCCTCTTCTTTGTCACTGCCTACTTCCTGTACAAGTCCCCATCATCGTCCTCGGATGGCCTGGAGGCCTCCCTGCCCAGCCAGTCCTCAGCCTCTGACAACCCCACAGAACAGCTCCAGAGCAACGTCTGACACCATGGGCCCCTCCACATTTCCTGAGGTCTCTTCCTGGATACTCCAACCCCATCCTCACAGGGTGGCAACCCTGAGAACCTTGCAAAATCTCGCACTGCATTCCGGGGCCTCGCACTGCCCCATACTGTGACTGAGCAGCCTCTGAGATGCTAAGGCGGAAAGAGTATGTCACATATGAACCAGGCACATCCCCCAAGCCCTAGAGTCTCCAAGGCATCACTACATTTCATGGACTGTCACCTGGTCCTGACTTCCTGTGTCTACTGAGAAGCCCCTGCAGGGCAGCAGTGCCCTGGGTGGCATGATCCTGTGGAGCCAGCTACTTGACGTTTTGCTTGAATCAGCTCATACTGCCTGTCCTCGAAGCCTGGTGGCCTCTGTGCTGGGCAGGAGCAACTTGAATCGTTATGTGTGGACTTATATTTTGCACTGAACAGTGTTTGTGGAATCAGTTTTGTACCTGATCATGTGACTCATGGTGTGACTCATGTCCAAGCAAACTGCAGTGAGGGTGTGATCCCATCTGAGGTGCCACGCAGATTTCGTGGATAATGTGTTTCTATGTTTTTGGTTAAGAGTGTGTCCATAATATATTTTAATATTTAAAGCAATGATCTTTGTGTGGCATTTTATTTCTATGGGTCTATGATTTGGCAGGTCAGTCTGCCCATCTTTGATATAGGTTTCCATAGCAATAGGCTGTCCCAGGCATTGGCTGGGCCCACAACACTTCTCAGGGAGCATCCCTATTGCCTTGTGACCAGAAGCAAGGCAACAGTTGTACAGGCTCCTGCCCCATGGCCCCAAGTAGACAGGCTTCAGCCCAGACCTCTGGACCTCCCCCACCTCCTGACTGACTCAGGCCACATCTGTGAACCTTGGGGTTGGGCATAGGGTGGCCAAACACTGCTATCAGTGAGGTATGAGGTAGGGAACCCTGTGCACTCTGTGCAGATACAAGCATATGCAACATGAGGGTTGCACTATGGTGTGAGTACTGAGTTGAGAGACAGGCACACACAGGCACACATGCACACACAGATGGCCTCCACTGCTGACAACCCAAATCCAGAGGAATGAAGGTCACAGGGCCTCTGTTCCAACTCATAGCCATGCCCCTCACATCTGCTGAGAAAATATCAATGTGCAATGTTTTGGGTCTCACATACCTTACTGTGTGTTGAGGGGGAGGGCAGCTAGACAAGAGGTGTGTGTATATGCATGCATATAGAGGTCAGAGGATGACCCCCATTGTCACTCCTCAAGGACTATCCACCTTGTTTTTTGAGACAAGGTCTCTCGCTGGCCAGGAGCTCAAAACTAGACTAGGTTATCTGGCCGAGGGATCTGCCTGCCTCTGTTTCCCCAGCACTGGGATAGAAAGTGTGTGCTCTCATCTCCGGCTCTTTGCCTAGGTGCTGGGGATCGACCTCACGTCTTCTTGTTTTCATGTCAAACACTTTGCCACCTGAGCTGCCTCGGGGCCCGTGAGCCTCATTTTGGAAGGCTAACACTTCTACCGTGACTCCGGCCACTCATTCCACTTTTCTTCTTATCACAACCAGACATGCAGGTCACAGCATCTAAGCCCGTAACCATTGGGGGTGAGGCTCAGACTTTCTCAGAATTCATGTCTAGAGAAGTGATAGGTTCTTCAGGAAGACACAAGGTAGCACACTGTCACACGAGAGCCATGTAGTCACACCGACACACAGGAAAACACACACACACACACACACACACACACACACACACACACACACACACACACACACTGCTGGCACTCCAACTCAACTTGCATAACCATCAGGGCTCCGAAGGCCATCACTCTAGCAGGATTATGAATGATGAGGACAAGGAGGCTTTTGTGTAGGCAGATGCCCTGGTGAGCCAACCTGACTTTCCTCCCTGGCACCTGCTGGCTTCCATCAGCTGAGCAGTGAAACACTTGGGCTTCTAATCACAGCACTGCCCTCTGAACACAGGGCAGCCCCGCCCACTGGCTGTATGACCCCAAACAACCTGCTTGGCTTTTCTGTGCCTTGATTCCCTCTTTTGCAGAAGAAGACTTCATGTCACCTGTCTCAGAAAGACTGGCTGCTGTTCACATCAGCCTGAGTACTGCGTCTCGTCAGACCTCACACCTGACGACCCCTGCACGACCCACTGAGAAGCTGACTGAGTCTGTAGCAGTTTTTTCTGACTGGATGCCTGGATGCCTCACTCTGCTTTCTGGGCACCTTGATAGCTTCTGTGCATTTTTAGCTGAGACACTGATATTCAGTTGACCCCACCTAGAGAAGAGACATTGCAGAAATTCCATCAGATGAATGAGTGACCCTTTCATGAGACATAAGCTAAGATGTTCATTCCTTGCTGGAGACCACAGTTAACTGGGTGCTCTTTTATACCATGACTGACCGACCACCTTTAGTGTGGTCAGCCAGGCATAGAGTGGCCTCAAATCAGAAAATGTTCCTCTGAGGCCACTAGGGATGGGTGGGTGAGTCCGCCTGAGAGCGGACTCAAGAATCACCAATCCAGGGACAGAGGTCAGGTCCCACCAGTACCCTCCCAGGTGTCCCCAAGTCACCAGGACTCAGGCCATTCCATCACTTTGTCACCTATGGTTTCCTCCCCAAGACAGAGCCCCAGGATCTAGCCCATTAGGGCACCAGGACCTCAGGGACATGAGTTTCAGTGACTCAAACTATGCAAAGCCCTACTCGCTAGCACACAGAGAGCACCTGTGGAATACAATGACTCATGTGACCACTGAAGGTGACCATGTGCCTTGCCCTGCTAGTCATCACAAGGGGGGGACATTCACACACCAGGACAGAAACCTCAGGGCCCTGACCTGAGAGGCAGCTCTGAAGGTAGACTGTGCTTTGCTTTCAGAGTCTCTGGGTACCCTCAGGCTTCCCCGGGGTCCTCAGATCCCCCTGTAATCAGAGATCTATTGCAGGCAGCAACACTTTGGCTTGGCAAAGGAAAGAGACAGAGCACAGATGAGAACCCTCCCCAGCACTCTGACCACAAGTGGGCTAAACTGAGTGGGGGTCAGAGAGGGCTGCACTATGGAGGTAGCAGCTTCCTGGACCCTGCCTCTCCGGAGTCGGCAAGGTTGGAGGCTCATTTCTGACAACAGATTTTTCCAGGAGACCAGTGCCATGTCCAGGCTGGGCTGTCAAATCTCTGATGTCCAGATGGCTTTTCTCTGGTGTTCATATACACTGCTGCAGACAGGCTCCAGGGTTATAGTCCTGCTGAGTGGCACAGGCATGTGGCAGAAGGCAGCAGCAGTCTAGCCCACACTTGGCTATCCTCCAACATCCTAGGGGTCAGAGTGAGGGCCATATTAACCAGGCTGCCTGTGGGGAGAAGACAATCCCAGGATTAGGTGGTGTCAGGAGCCCACCACACCCTCTTGGTTTTCTGTGAAGGGAACTTCGGATAGTTGTGACAGTGAGATATACTAAGCTCTGAGGGATGCTTCTGGGTTTATGGTCTGGGGCTTTTTTTCAAGTAGCAAATGCCAGTGAAGGGCCAATGGCCATTGGGCCATATTTCTTTTATTCTTATATTTGGTTAAAAATAATCAAGCAATTGCAGAATTGCTTTAAAGCCTCAGATGACGCCTCCCCTTTCCTGGTTAGCAGACATCTGGAGGGATGGCTGTCTCTTCAGTTCATAACTCCCCAGGTGGAAATGAAAGGGTTTCATGCTTCCACAGGAGAAGCTATATACCTATATATATACCTAGAGAGCTGCATGCCAGGGGGTTACACACCCAGGAACTGCATGCCTGGAGGCTACATACCTGCCTGCGCACACTGTGGGCCTAGGCTGCCAGGCACATATCAAATGCCAAGCTAACATCCCAGCATCTCAGGTCTTCCTCACACTGGAGGCCCCATGCCAGCCCAGTGAAGACCAAGGGTAGCTATTAGGCTACACCAGTTCCTGAGCTGGCCAGTCAGCTCCTCCAGCAGAGGCCTGGCATGGAACACACCACTTACAGGGTGCCTGGGCCTGTGCTCTACCCCAAGACCCTGCTCCACAGAGCTAGAAACTTGCACATCACCTCCCTGAGGAGCTGCTCATGTGCACATTCTAGAGTCTCTGACTCTGGGGCCCAGAAACCTGTGATCTTCAAAACAAAAAACAAAAACAAAACTAAACAAAACTACCCCATGGTGCCCAGGCTCTCTTTGGAGAAGCACTGAGCAGAAGCCTTTGAGCAGATGTGGCAAAGGCCATCGTGGTTAGTGCTAAGAGGGACAGGAGGGTGCAGGACCTCAGTACCCAGAACCACTACAACCCAAGACTTTGCCTCTATGGCCCTGAAGTGTCCACATGTATTTAGGATGGACCAGACCTCTCCTTGCAACAGTTGACAATCCATGTTGTGCTTGCATGGGTGAGGTTTGAGAGGCCCTCAAAGGCCCGTTGTGACTGCCGGGAGGTCCTTGGGTCACAGGCAGTATGAAGCTGCACTCCTGCAACCTTTTACAGTTTCATGAGAGAGTTGCTGTGAAAGGGGCTAGCTTCATGACACCCATGCTCTGTTCCCTGCAGAAGTAACCAGCTAGCACTTGCTCTAATCCATGCTTCTCTCATTCCCAACTGCTGTCCACGATGCCTTCACCGGAATCTTGAACCTCCAAACTGGGAGCTAATGAACCTTCGGTATTTCATTATAGTGATGAAAAGATTTCTGGTTCCAAACTAAAGAGGAGGCACAGAAGGGCTCCAGTTGTGGCTGAAGCAATGAGCTTATGCAAATCTGGAAGATGGATGTTTTGCATACATATGAGACAACCTCTTCTGCCAGTGGTGGGCATACATGCCTAAGTGACACAAAGAGAATTTGAAATGATAGGCAGAGGACTCCCAGGAACCTAAGCCAGATATTAAAGGCTTCAGAACATCAAAATGAGCTAAGAGAATATCACACGGTCACCAGCTCTGCAGTCTCAGCCAGTCCTGCTGTGGATAAGCCTGCCACACATCAGCTTGTGAGGCCATCTGGCGAGACGAACCTGAGATAGGCAGAGGGTTGGTTGGGAAAGAGGCAGATATGGCAGACACTCTAAGCAATAGTGACTCCTGGAGGGCAAGAGTGATGCTCAGAGTGAGGAAGCCCTGGAAAATGGAGGCCACCTGGTTGTCAGGCAAGTCCAGTCAAGTGGCTTTCTGGTCCCACCTCCATGGCTGTGACTGAGAATGTATGGGAAGAGAACAGCACTTTACCACCTGGGCTCTGCCACAGCCATGGGGGAAGCTGCCTAAGAAATTATGTCACACTTGTCCCTTGCTGAAGTGACCACCAAGCCTAATGTGAACACCTGCCTTTGTCCTTCTAGTCACACCCGGTCCCTCCAGAATCACTCTGCTCTGGCCACACACACACACACACACACACACACACACACACACACACACGGGGGGGGGGGGGGCTGCACATATGCACACAGTTGTACGTACACAAATGTGTGTCCATGCACACAGATACAGAGGTGTGTGCATACAAATACCTAAGCATGGACACATCCATAAGCACATGCCAGTCTGTATACATGCATTCTTGGCCCCTGCCCCAGGGTCTT